AGGAGTACCTAGTAATGGAACAGAAGCGGGGACATGAATGGATGATGCGTTTGTGTGTGGTGGTGACCAAGAAGAGTGGAAGATGGAGGGAGGGAGAGAAGCTCAGCGTGAAGATACAAGGAAGGAGACGTTGACTTGAAAAAAAATATGATGTGGCACACCACCGTTAGCCACATCAGCTTGTTTTTAAAGCGGTTAATTTTGGAGGACCAAAAATTAAGGTTTCCTTAACGAGAAGGACTAAAATGTACCTTACTTTGAAAAAAAGACTAAAATCAAATTCGCTTGATAGTTTAGGAACTAAAAACATATTTAATCCTTATTTTAAATTCTAAAACTATCATTTGTTAAAAAAAATTAACTTAAAGTAAGTTTTTCTTCTTTACAACTCAAAAACCTTACATTTTATTCTTTTGTGTTGCAACAGAATTAAAAATCTATTAAAAGATCTTTTAAATATTTCAATGAATTTCAATGTCTTCAACAAATTTTAAAATTTATTGAAGTTTTTAACATATTTTTAAATTATTTTCATGAATTTTAATAAATTTTAAAATTCGTTAAAGTTCTTCTATATATAATATTAACTATCTATTTAACGTATTTTTATAAAATTTGTTTTTAATTTAAAAATTAATAAATATTAAAATTAATTTAATATAATTTAATATATATTAATATTTTAATATTTAAAAATATATTTTATTAAATTAAAAAAACTAAAAGATATTTAAAAAAATTAAAAACAAAAAATACAAAAGAAATCAAATTAAGAAAATTTAAAAGGTCAAAAATTAATCTTAAATAAATTTTAAAATTTATTAAAAAATATAACGGATTATTTTAAAATCTATTAAGAATTTTTATTATATTTCTTAATGGATTTTGAAATTCCTTAAAAAAATTTAATGAATTTTAAATCTATTAAAAAAATATAATAAATTTTAAATTTTATTAAGAAATGTAATCAGATTTTGAAAAGTTTAATATTTTCAAAAGATTTAGTTACTTGTTTTAAATGTTAGTAAAATATATTTTTGTTTATTAGAGGAGAAAAAGAAATATGTAGAGATACAGGAAGAAAATATTAGTAACTTGAATAATTTTGGATTAGGTAAGTAATTTATTTCTATAAAAAAAACTCTTTTATTAATTTATAAAAATCTTAATTATAAAAATAGATGAAAGAATAATATTTAGGGCGTCCACTCAGGGCAAAAGAGACAAAGAACCACCAGCGGCTCCACCACTTCCTCTTTTGTACTATTCCTCGTCTTTAAATCCATGCTGAACACATGGAATTCGATGCTTTACTTCCTCATTCTAAGTACATGTGGACCTCCAAGGAACGTCAGCCAGAAAAAGGTTCAACACGACCCTGGTTCAGGTGGAAATACTTTCAAATTACGCTCCAAATAGGTGGGATTGACACAACTCTTTATCCAAAACCTTAAGACAAAGAGTTAATGGGTCTTTTACCTTTGTATACTACTCTACTTTTTCATTTTTATCTAACGTGAGACTTGGACTCACACTTGAATTTCCAACACATATATGATATACATGTCTAATAAATATTATATATATCTTTAATACATCGATATATTTATTTTAAAAATAATAAAATACGATACTTAATATATGCATATTAAAAAAAATATTTTTTAAAATATAATAAATATATAATTATTATTATATGAATCTAAAATAAAATAATACATATTAAACATTATTATTAAAATAAAAAATTATAAATTATTATCATTATAAAAGTACTTTTACTTTATAAATAAATATCAATATGTCATAACTAAACATTTATGATATAGATTAACTTATGAAAATGAATAAGCATCAAGATAAATTTGTATTTTTTTAAGAGAAAACATGCATATGACTTATAATTTTTTACTGGAAAAGTAAAAAACAGTAAAAAAAGTAAAAAAAAAATTAAGAGCGATAAAAACGAGTTATTTTCATTCATTGTGATATGTTTTGTTTAAAATAAGTGAGGTTGACTAGCTCGTCATGAAAAGGCATACTGAAAATCTAGGCATGCTCCAGTAACAATTTTTTTACATTATATATATTTAAAATTACGCATTATATAAATGTGTAAACTTATCTCGAAATTGTGTATATTTATGTAATTGGAGGCACACTTTGTGTATAAAAAGAGTGAAGCCGCATTAACTTCAGCGCTACTCGTTGAAATTTTCGGAACTTTGCGGCCATTTATTTGTTTTGTGTGTATATTTATAAGTTGGTCAGTTCTTTAATGAACAGACGGCCACCAGATTTTTTTTTTTTAAATACTACATTTTACGTCTCTCAGAACCCTTTAAATTCTGTAGTTACAGTGGAAGCAAGGTGTAAGGTAGGGAATTTGAAATTCAAAAAATGAAAGAAAGGTCTAAGCAGTAGAGTGGATCGCTCAGTTTTGACAGTAGTATTTAAGTAAAAATTTTAAATCTGGTGTCACATTCTGCATGATTTTTTTCTCCAACTTTCTGAATTCTCATTTTCTCCTTCTTCTCTCTAAACTATAATCTTTTCCTCCACTAATTCTCATGTTTCCTTCAGCCGATCATTCATCAGATTGTGTTTGAAGTTGGCTGGTGGCAAAGGTTCTCTTTACAATCGGTCAAGTGGTGGTTTGAGCTGGTAGGTCTTTCTACTTCTAAGAAAGTTTAGTTTCGAGCACATGCAAATGCAGTTTTTGTTTGCATGTGTTTATTTTTTCTTCTTCTAAGATTTTGATCACGTTTCTGGCCTTGTGGTTGGTCTGTTTTCTTCAAAACAGTGAATCTTAGCTTTTGAGAGTTTTGGTATTGGACAAATTTCTGTGTTGTGAGCGTTTCTTCTGTTAAGAGGTAAGGAAAGCTATTTAATTTAAATTGTGTGTGTGATGATTCTGTGTATGTATGGAATGAATGGACTTGATGATTTATATATGATGATATGAAATGTATGTTTCTGGGTTTTAGTGGTTCTGTATGAGTCTATAAGAGTTCTGCAGAATTATGCAGAAAAACTGTGTGTTCAGTCTCGACCGTTCGGTCATGGTCAGTTAATAATTTATCAATAGAGTTAGCATTTTAGCCTTACCAGTACATGATCGCTCTGTTTTTAGGTGAGTGGTTGGTATCTTAAGTGTTTATGATTATGTATTAATGATCAGTCTTATCGGATTGAGTACTCTTGTTAGTGATAGTTCCTATATTAGTGTTAGATCTCGTCCTTGTGCTAGGTTTAAATACATTGGTTATACTGAGATAGTTATTCATGTACATAGTTTGAACATATTGACGTAACGATCAGTTTCTTAAAAGTTTTAAGCTTTATTAATAGTATTTGAAATTAACCTTAAGTGTTCGGAATAAACTGTAAGTATTTGTCTGAGGTTATAGTGCTCTGTTTCTTGTTAGTATTTTATTTAATTCTAGTAGTCAGCTAATTCTCATCCTCGCTTAGTATGAAATACCGTTCGATCTTGTTTTGGGGATAGTGGAATATCGTTCGGTCATGATTTGTGAATAGCGAAATACCGTTCGGTCTTACACCAAGTGGAATATCTTGCGATGATAATCCTTTTTGGATGTGAGTAGAGGGAGAAGAGTTTACGTTGGAACAGGAGCTGAAAGTTGAAAATCCTGCTGAATAGATTTATGACCGATCGATCATGTGAGTGGTCTTAGTTTTGGGTGAACCGTTCGGTCACCACTTTAATTTTGTATATAACCCTTGGGTTATGTATATAGATTTGTAGTAGTATAGGAAGTGTTTGTAAAGTTTAAATTTTATGGTTATTTTGTAATAATTGAAAGTTTGACTTTATTAATGTATTAATTGTTCTATTATATTATTAAATGATGACACCTGTATATAATTTTGTGCTACGTCCCAGAATGTTTTAAATATTTTTAAGTAAGATTTTAAAAAAATACTACTTTTTATTTTAAAAAAGTACTCTGTTTCTTTTTATGCAAGAAAATATAAAAATTAAAATTTATTCTACAATTTCTTATAAAATTAAATAATTTAAGTTTAGATTAAGGAAATTATTCACGATATGTAGCTTATCACTTTTAAAATAATTACTTAAGACGCGTTTTTCAATATATCTTTTTAAGTTTAAACATAACAAATTTATAATCAGTACATACTTATTAAGAATTTTTTTAATTGAAATAATTTGATTAATTTTGTATGTAATATGCATGATATGGACCCACCAAACAAGATAAGTGAGAGTAATGGATCAGTTTACATGCCGATCAGTCGATTGATCTATCGAGCAATCCTCGTCATTCTTCAACTTATTAAAAATGTTTAAAAATAACAAACAATCTATAGGTTTATCAGTCATGTTAGTTATTGATATGAAAGGTGACCGATCGATTGAAATCCAATGTAGTTAACTTGTCTAAAAGCAATTTAATATAAATAAATTACATAGTCGTGTTAATGTATGATTAAGTTATAATAAGAATTAGATGGGTGATAAGTAAAAATCAATTATATAAACAAGAGATATAAGAAAGATGTTTCTTTGCATTAATTATTGTATTTAATATTTTTACGTTCGAATACTTACTGATTTAAATAACGAAGTATATTTTATAAGTTTCACTTATTCGATATTTTTTATAAATATTATAAGATGCTTACACAAATTTTGTAAATGAATAGTGTTCTTTCCTTTCAATAATATACTTGGAACATGATTGTAATTTCATTCTCTGGAACAAACATTAACACTTTTCTAGCATGGTCGTATTAGCGATTGGAATAGGGAAGCAAACGAAAGGCATGATTGTCTTCTACTTCATGCACCAAATTTCTAGCCGTTGACAACAAGTTACCATTAGTAACATCTTGAGTCAGCAACATTGGCCCCATAAAATAAATATAAAATGAAAAATAAAGGATAGATTATAAATGTGGGGTTGTTTCTACATAGTCAATAGTCAATAGTCCTCACCTGTCAACTGATACACCTAACCATCTGCCACATAACCTTTGCCAGATACTATTTTCTTCTGTACCCTAATTTACACCTCCTATTTATAGCTCTACTTTCTCTCCTGATGCAGAGACCCTATCACCACTTCTTCAATGATCTCATAATGGAAGCCATTTCCAACAAAAACCATGCACTCCTCCCTCACCAATTCTCTCTCTTCTCAAACCACCTTCTTTCAAAACTCTCTAATTTTCTTTGGCCCTTCACCTTCTTACTTCAAACATTCTTACTTGTGCAAAACTCCCGACTTATGTTTCATTTTCTGGTACCATGTTTCCTCTTTCTTTGTTTCCTGCTCAAACACTTCCTCTCAAAGCCCTCTCCCATTTACCTTGTGGATTTCTCATGTCTGAAGCCACCAACCCATTGCAGGGTGCCTTTTTCAGCATTTGTTGAAAATGCTTCCTTGTGGGAAGTTTTTGACAGTGAAAGCATAGCTTTCATGGACAAAATCCTCCATTCCTCAGGGCAAAGTGAAGAGACTTACCTCCCCCCTGCCTTGCACTACATTCCTCCTAAGACTCACCACACTGAATCCATCAAAGAGGTGCAAATGGTTCTGTTCCCCATCGTCGACGATCTTCTTGCAAAAACCAACGTTTCACCGCTTGATATAGACATACTTATCATAAACTGCAGTGGCTTTTGCCCCTCACCTTCTTTAACCTCCGTTGTTATTGAAAAATACTCAATGAGAAGCGACATCAAGAGCTATAATGTCTCTGGCATGGGGTGCAGTGCGAGTGCCCTTTGTATTGATATGGCACAGAATCTTCTGAGGGTACACAAGAACTCTAATGCCCTTGTTCTCAGCACAGAGATTTTGTCAACAGGATGGTATTCAGGCAATGAAAAGTCCAAGTTGCTGATCAATTGCCTCTTTCGGATGGGAAGTGCAGCAATCCTTCTCTCAAACAAGAAAGAAGCCAAGAAAACTGCAAAATACAGGTTGGTCACGACACGCAGAACACAAAGAGCCTTTGATGACAAAGCTTATTTCTCTGCCTTTAGGGAAGAAGATTCTGAAGGAAAACTTGGGGTGACACTGAAGAGGGACTTACTTAATGTGGCTGGTGAAACTCTGCGTGCAAACATCTCCATCTTGGGGTGTGAGATCCTGCCTCTTTCAGAGAAGTTTCGGTGTGGAGTTTCTTTGATCAAGAAGAAGTTCATCAAGTCTGAGGGAACTTACGTGCCAAATTTTAAGACAGTGATACAACACTTCTGTTTGCCATGTTCAGGGAGACCCGTGATAAGAGAAATAGGGAAAGGGTTGAAGCTCTCAGAGCGAGACATTGAACCTGCTTTGATGACACTGCACAGGTTTGGAAACCAGTCTTCTTCCTCGCTGTGGTATGAACTAGCTTACTTGGAAGCCAAGGAAAGAGTGCACAAGGGTGACAAGGTTTGGCAGCTTGGAATGGGAAGTGGACCCAAATGTAACAGTGTTGTTTTCAAGTGTATTAGGCCAATAGTTGGAGAGTACAAGAAGGGACCATGGGCAGATTGCATCCATGGGTACCCAATAATAACCATGGATTAAGAATTCTCAGCCTTTTTTAACTATGTTATCTTCTGGATTTTAAATGAATACGGATGACTGGCGCATCTTTCTTTACTCATTATTATTTTCTTAGCTTCAATGAGGACCTTCAAAACTGTTAATATAAAGTTTTCATTGTATCAGTTCGCAGCGAAACTGCAAAATTCAAATATATAATGCATCAGGTTTCCTCCTTTAGTTTTTTTTTTCAGTATTATATATAATGTACTGCTGGTTTTTGTTCTCTAATGTCTCGTTTCCACAGTCTGTAAGTTGCAATCAGATTCAGACTTATGTACATACACCTAGTTTGATTATACTTTTCAGGTGAGTCATATATTTTCACAAAAATTGTATAATATGTCAAAGAATAAGTATGGTGTGTTTCATTGAGAATATATTTATGATGTGCGTATCTTTTTCCTATGTAGAGTAAATAGTAATAGGAAGGTTGGTTGGTTGCATCATTAATTGTTCTGCAGCATGTAGTGATGGCATCGAGTTTTGGGACTCTCACCACCTCCATTTAACTAGGCGGTGTGAACTACCACAAGCAAAATCTCTTTTCACTTCCTGCTACATGCAATGTTACTTACTTTATACAGTTCTTCGCTTTGGCTTCTCTTTCCTCAGGAGTAATTACGTTAATTTTTTATGCCGTTAATGTGCAGTGTCTTCCCTGAGTGCAAAAATACTCACAGCTATTACTTTTCTCCGTTTTCATTTCAGATTTTTTTAATGCTTTTGCCGCTGTCCGAATCAAACTACTTATTCAAGAAGGATTTGATTCACATAAAAAAGTTCCACGAGGACTCTTTACTTTTTACACATTAACATCATATTTCATCTACAAATTACGGTGAAGGAATCCACCCTAAATGCCTAGACAAATCAAATGTATCCGTTAAGAAATTAATGACGACATTTTCAACTTTACAAAATTAACAATATATATTCTAAGAAATTTACTTGAACCAAAGCAAGGAATCTAGGGAAAGTCAACAATACTGTTGAAACACTGCTTAATTAATATATTGGAAAATTTTCTTTCACACCAATAACAACGATATCAATTTGATAACCTATTATAAAAGTAAAATGTGAAATAATTTTTGTATTTATACAAGAAAAAAAAAATAAAGTGAAGGATAATCTCAAACGAGAGTAAAAATATTTTTTTGTTCATTATCTTAATATATTATTCAAGCACTGTGTTCCTTCTCCTTTAGGCAAATAGAGTTCCATCTCACTGTCGTAAAAACTACTACTACTTATTTACCATTTTATAACAAAAATCCACTTAACGAGTTCTAGCTGTTGACTATATTTTATATTTGAAGAAACTGTTCCACACATACTTTAGAAATTAATAAATCAAATAAAATAACTTTTTACTTATAAATTAAAATTAAATAGTACACAAAAAAGAGTTAAAAATCTTAAGGAAAAGGTTTAAACAATTAGATCATGTACAACACGACATTACATGTGAAGAGGTATTTAATTATTTTATGATTTTTTTTTTACTTTTAATTCTTTGATATGTTAAAATAAAAGAAAAAAAAATAGTTAAGAATGTGAATGTGAAGTTGAAGTATCATTAAAAAAATCCCATTAAAATTGTGCAAAAGTTCAGGCTGGTCCTTCATAGACAACCCACCCATAGGGAAGCCGAATAATGAATTTAAAGCACAATAAATTAATATAGCCAATTAAAAAAAAAGTAAAAAGAACAAACATTGGATAATTTCATGAAAAGGAGAAAAGATATATAAAGTCAAAAGTAAAAAAGAAAAAACTTAAAAAGTGTAAAGTTATCTTTTTGAAATAACAAAAGTATCGTGCTTAAAAGAGAGAACATTGAGGAAAAGAGAGAAAACAAGAAAAGGAGACAGAGAAAGAGAAACTCATACGGTATGAGTCGTACCTAAATTCAGAGAGGATTCATTGCGAGTATTCATCTTGATCTTAAATAATAATAATAATAATAATAATAAATATATTTTGATAGTTTGAAAATCACTAAATCAAAGTAAATGTTTAATATATATATATATATATATATATATATATAAAATTTAATATTTAATAAGTATAAGTTTACGAGACTCAATTTGGTTCATCCAGTAATCTATTCCATATTTTGATCAAGCTGATGATTATTTTAATTTTGATAAAATGGCATTAATTTAACTAATTTGTTGTGTTAAATCAATACAGTTATTTTTTTAAGTTTACTCTATACTATAATATATAAATGAGTGCAAATTTCACTTTATAAATCGGTTTTGTGAGATTTAGTTATGTTTAAAATCCACTTCTTAATATGGTATTCAGGTTAGAGTCTATCCTAACGAAATTTGTGTGAATATATTGTTTTAATCAGTATCAAGTCACTATCGGATCATTCATTAATGTTTAGTCTCACGCTCAAAATATATATATCTTGGCATGAGGGAGTTGTGTTGGAAGTCTTACATCGACTAAAAGTAAAACCAATTTATAGTATATAAGTGAATGCAAACTTTACATACAAGTCGATTTTGTGGAGTTGAGTTAGTATTAAAGTTCAATTCATACAATAATAATATTGTTATTGTTTAATAAATTTTTTATTAAAAATTAGGATGAATGATTAATATATTTTAGTTGTCTAAATAAATTCAATTCCAGTTCTTATGGTAAAATAAGAAACTTTATTTATGTTTTTATTTATTTTTATGAGTTGGTTAATGCTTTCAAACCATTAAAATGTTTAAAAGGTGTTTCTCTCCCTCTCTCTATATACAGAGACCTATTTTAGAAGTGCAACCTTAAACCTATTCCACATGCATTGTTGTTGATATGAGTGACACCAACCCACATTTCATTTGACAATAACAAACAAAATGTGGAAAAATCAAATTAAACATGCTTAAAACGAGGTGAGGCGAAATGATACATATCAATAAAAAAAAAAGGTCTGAACTTATAACCCATACATTTAGAGGTAAATTATTAATCTGTCAAAATCTATCTAACAAATATAAATGTAAAATACGAACAAATAAAAATATGTTTTCAAAATATTAATTTTATTATATATTTTAAATTTATATTATATATTCCTTAAATATTAATGGGATTAGTAAACTACACAAGCCTTTTCCTACCTTCATATATTTATTACTGGTGGTCAGGTTGGCGAAATAGTTTTTCACTGCAACCTTTTTCGGCAGCATGATGAGAATTTCAGAGTCACAATTGCAATACCAAATTTATGTAAATTCATGCATCATTAATGGTGTTTATGTGGGTACGTCCAATTACTACACTTTTAAAATGCACTCTTACTTTACTTTATTCAATAATTTTGTTGAGATGTGAGAAGAATCTCCTACGAGCCAATTGATGAGTGTATTATATATGCATCATTTCATAAAGTAAAAGGCTAAATGTTATTTTTCTTTTTTATATGAAAAAGGATTTTGCAATTGGAAAAAAAGAAATTGACCTAACTAAGTGCAGAGGGGCCATTACAGTACTGTCTTTCTCTGAAGTGATTTTTGTTAATATTAATTTGTACGACTTCCAGCAAGGCCTTGCAAGCCTTTTAGTTCCTCTGTCTACCTCTTGTTTCCTATAATATTTGTTTCACTCGAGAAAGAAAAATAAAATATAAATATATATGATTCATTGGTTTATAAATAACCATAAAAAGAAGAAATTGAAAAATAAGATCGTATTTATTCATAAATTTTATATTAATCTTTTTGATATTTTGTAAAAATGTTAAAACAAGAACAATTAGGAATATTAGTATAATGTATTAAAAATACTGATGTAATATTCTATATAATTTAAAAATTATATAATTTTACAAACCCTTAGTAACTGTGATTTTTTTTTATCATTCAAAGTGAGTAGGGACCCTTCAAGTTACTGTTTCCAAGTACGAAATAAATACTTGCCATTATACACTTTTAATAAATAAAAAAAATGTAAAAAAAACAAATCCTTAACAGAATACACAATCATGCATGTTATACAAGCTTATTTCCGTCTTCTAAAGCATTTTTTTAAAGAAGGAAGATAAATTACAATTTTGTTTCTCTTTTAATTTCTGACTTGTGATTTTAAAATTTTTATCTTTCATAATTTTGGCCCGTATTTTAATAATATAAAATTTTAGTTTACTTCTTGATTTTAGTACGCTCATGTAATTTCTTTTAAATGAAAATAAATAATTAATCAATCATCATTCATTAATATTTTTGTGTGTCTTACATTCAATATTTTAAAGTTATTAATCTCTTTTTAGTATTAACAAGGATGACAATGTGAGAGCAGTGTGTAAGTTTGACTTTATTATGCTGAAATCATAAATCGATTTTTTCGAAATGCACTTAAATGAGATTTATATTTTTAATCAAATCTTCTCTTGCAATTAAATGATTGAATATTGTTTGCATAATTAAAAAATCTACACTAATATTCGCTAGGATAGTTCTACAAATTTTTCAATGTGTCATCAAGCTATCTAAACTAAAAAAATTACAAATTTACTGTATTGCACGAAAAAGCTTTTGGTGCAAAATTATTTGCAACCAACGTGTTTTACCCTAATTATTCGACGGGAATCACGGAATAGGGATATTATAATCAGAGGTGCTAAAGGCCAATGAAAGGCCCAATTGGGAATGAATTAAAAACAAAAATTATTCGACACACTTTTACATTTTTACAGTTATTTGATACATTATTTTTTACTTTTTTATTAAAAAATATATATAAATTGAGTGTAAGTATGCCATCTTCCTAGTATCTTTATTCAAAACCATGGACTTTTATATAATAGCTTAATTATAGATTATTAGAATAAAAAACTTGGCATGTAATAGAAATCATGGATCAGCCGTAGTTTTATTGCTTTACAAATTCATACCAATCTCCATTTCTTATGCTATAACTTGTCAAAATGACACCTAAAAAAGTGAAAATTTCATGGGTCGAAATACAACCCTGTCAACAAACATTCTACCACGAAAGAAACAAATATCGCCATTTATTTGATCGCTAAGAATAGAAATGATAAAGCATTGATCAGAGGATAATAGGATATGTTTTCTTTTAAAGTCCAACAAGAGATGTCCTTTCCATAACTCTGCAAAGTCACCAATAAAGATGAACTGTCTTTCTGCTTTTGTTATACCATTGGATTCTAGTTTAGCACATAATTCATCTATTTTATACCACTAATCCTCCTTTTCATGGAAAGAGCTTAAAGACAATGATGATTCAAACAATTTCGGACTATTTTTTTCACTACATTCTGTCAAATTTATTGTGTGCCAACTACTTCGTATGTAACTAACTTGATAGTGAAGACTGAAGATAACATTTATGTTCTGTAAAATATATGGGACCGGTACTATTCCAGAATAACTCTTCTAATTTGGTAGGGCTGAAATTAGTGTACAAGAATGTTATCGTTGAAACAACTTAAAGCATATTCGATTTCAGGAATAAGATGATTTTCGTAATCATTTAAAAGTTAATGCTGATGTTTTGACAACAACTATTTCGTTTTTGTTATATATGGAGACAGACTGGCTTACCAAAGACTCTCATTAAACCAAATTACCAAAGGGAAGATGTTATTTTATTTGCCTGTTTTTTCTTTCAACAGCCGCATCTCTCCCACAGATATCAGTGTTAGAGTAAATGTACATTGAGAAATTGGTCAAAACATCTAAAGGGCAATTGAAGACTACACCATTCATCATGAAAATGGATGTCTATGCACTCTGCAACTCCAGAACAAATAATTGAAGAAGTGGATGAATAATAGGCCACTTAGCTAGGGAATCTGAACTCAGCGGTGCTCAGATATATTACATGCATTCTGTGAAAGTGGGACCCGTCATTAGATTTTTGTGTAAGAAGGAGTAAATCTATTGGAAAAATTATCCTCCATTGATCCTTCATGGCAAGGTGACTTTTTAACCGTTCGATGCCAGTGCTCATTGCTTTACTCTGTGAGAAACAGCTTAAACCTTTGTCAGACATATCCAAAAGTGGATTGAGAAACTTTATGAAGAGGTTAAGTCCTCAACATCATTTTAAGAGCATGTATACTGAAACATACTTTGTTTTTTTATTTCTATGTTGGACTGTAAAGTGTTGTCTGGAAGATAAAGGAAACAGCGAGGTCACATGATGCTACCTGTTGGTAAGTGTGATGTAAAAATTGTGAAATAACACAAGGACCATGATAGAGCTTTTTAGAGTGAAAGGACCATAGCTACATTAACTTCTACCACCAACTACCAAGTAGCTAGTATAACTCTCCATTCAACTTGCTTGGCATCCACAAAACAACCAGGCTCTTTTATTACCCGCGCAATGGTGACAGAGTAAATATCACACTCTTCTCCCTTCTCTTAAATATCTGAGGCACCAGAGCACACACCACTATACATTAAAGCATGAAAACTCATTAATTTCCCTTCACCCGTCTTTCTCCCTTCAAACTCAATGCCTGAAACCCCATAGTTTCCTTCTTCTTTTCACGTTACACGCGTCCAATCACCCCAGCGGCAAAGATGGGTCTCATTCTAACAATCCATCTCCTCTTGTGTATACTATCGTCTGCAAATGCTGAATTTTCCAAGAACACGTACATCATTCAAATGGATAAGTCAGCAAAGCCTGAGACCTTCTCCAATCACCTTGAATGGTATACCTCAAAAGTGAAATCAATTCTGTCCAACTCGGTAGAAGCTGAGATGGACAAGGAGGAGAGAATCATTTACACCTACCAAACTGCTTTTCATGGACTGGCTGCCAAGTTGAGCCAAGAAGAAGCTGAGAAGCTAGAGGCAGAAGAAGGGGTTGTGGCCATGTTCCCGGATACTAAGTATCAACTTCACACCACGAGAAGTCCAACTTTCCTTGGGCTTGAACCAACACAAAGCACTAACGTGTGGTCAGAAAAGTTGGCCAACCATGATGTCACAGTGGGAGTGCTCGACACTGGGATTTGGCCTGAGAGTGAGAGCTTCAATGACACAGGCATGAGATCAGTTCCTTCTCACTGGAAAGGTGCCTGTGAGACCGGTAGAGGCTTCGAAAAATATCACTGCAACAAGAAGATCGTGGGGGCAAGAATGTTTTACCATGGGTATGAAGCGGCAACAGGTAAAATTGATGAGAAAACAGAATACAAATCGCCAAGAGATCAAGATGGTCACGGAACTCACACTGCAGCTACAGTTGCTGGCTCCCTGGTGCATGATGCTAATCTTCTAGGCTATGCTCATGGCACAGCAAGAGGAATGGCACCAAGAGCGAGAATTGCTGCTTACAAAGTATGCTGGACTGGTGGATGCTTCAGCTCAGATATTCTTTCAGCTGTTGATACAGCTGTGGCTGATGGAGTCGATGTTCTATCCATCTCTTTGGGTGGTGGAGTCTCCTCTTACTACCGTGATAGTTTATCTGTAGCTGCTTTTGGAGCAATGGAGAAAGGTGTTTTGGTATCGTGTTCTGCTGGAAATGCAGGACCTGACCCTGTTAGCCTCACAAATGTGTCACCTTGGATCACCACAGTTGGAGCCAGCACCATGGATAGAGATTTTCCAGCAGATGTTAGTCTTGGAAATGGAAGAAAGATAACGGGAACCTCGCTCTATAAAGGGAGAAGCGTGCTCTCAGTTAAGAAACAGTACCCTTTAGTATACATGGGAAATATCAACTCAAGCATACCTGATCCAAGATCTTTGTGCTTGGAAGGTACTCTGGATCGTAGAATGGTTTCAGGCAAGATTGTTATCTGTGACAGAGGCATTAGTCCAAGAGTTCAGAAGGGTCAAGTGGTGAAAAATGCAGGCGGGGTGGGAATGATTCTCACCAACACTGCAGCTAATGGAGAGGAGCTTGTTGCAGACTGTCATCTCCTTCCAGCAGTTGCAATTGGAGAGAAAGAAGGCAAGGAGCTAAAACGTTATGTGTTAACAAGTAAAAAAGCTACTGCAACTCTAGCTTTTCTGGCTACAAGGTTGGGTGTTAGACCATCTCCTGTAGTGGCAGCATTTTCATCAAGAGGGCCCAATTTTCTTACCCTTGAAATTTTGAAGCCTGATGTGGTGGCTCCAGGGGTGAACATTATTGCTGCTTGGAGTGGAGCCATTGGTCCTTCAAGTTTGCCAACAGACCACAGGAGGGTGAAGTTCAATATACTCTCAGGAACTTCAATGTCATGCCCTCATGTGAGTGGCATTGCTGCTTTGCTCAAGGCTAGGCATCCAGAATGGAGTCCTGCTGCTATAAAATCTGCTTTGATGACCACAGCTTATGTCCATGACAATACCATCAAGCCTCTCAAGGATGCCTCGAGTGCTGATGCCTCAACTCCTTATGATCATGGTGCTGGACACATCAACCCCGGAAGAGCTCTTGACCCAGGTTTGGTTTATGATATTCAGCCACAGGATTACTTTGAATTCCTGTGCACCCAGAAACTGACTCCATCTGAACTCGGAGTTTTTGCCAAGTATTCAAACAGAACTTGCAGTCACTCTCTTGCAAGTCCTGGGGACTTGAACTACCCAGCCATATCCGTAGTTTTTCCACAGATTAATTCCTCTTCAGTTTTGACCGTTCACAGAACTGCCACCAATGTTGGCCCTGCTGTCTCCAAGTACCATGTTGTGGTTTCACATTTCAAAGGCGCTTCTGTTAAAGTTGAGCCAAACACCTTGAGTTTTACCAAAAAATACCAGAAACTATCTTACAAAGTTACATTCACAACACAATCTCCACAAACAGAACCTGAATTTGGAGGTCTGGTATGGAAGGATGGTGTGCACAAAGTAAGAAGTCCAATTGTCATAACATATTTGTCACCAATATGAAACTTTCCTTGGATTATCTCTAAGTTTACCAGTATTTCTTCGTTTTTTTTCTTTTGCAATAAGCAAAATTTTCTGTACTACGAAGTGTATGCATTTTTATTACAGGAAAATGCTGGATATTATCTGCTTTCAATAATGATCTTGCGTGCTGAATTGCCAAAAGAAAAATGATGGTGCATGCCTCTCACTGCATCTTAGACCTCAACTAGCATAATTTGCCCCATTTATGATTCATCTGCCGATTGAAGACTGATTAAAGTAACCACCTAAATGGATTTTATCTTAAATGTTGCAGTCACATGAGATCTTCTGTTTCATCAATGTCGTCTATTAATCACGCAAACATTCACGTAATACCTTTTCTTTTATCAATAAAAGATAACTAGAAGAATCTGTTACAGGAGAAGCTGGTGCTATTAATATATAGCAATAGCTTAAAAGCAGAAGCACTCCTTTGCTGAAATAATTTAAGAATGGGAACATCATACCAAACGTATGCATGTTATACATTTTATATAGAATTGTGTCTTGGACACCATGACTTGACTTACCGTTTCATCAGCACATACACTCATTAATTATAACAATTAATTGTTGTACTGTATCTCATTTACTCGGTATTATGATAGTTGAAACAAGACTCTTGATATTCCCGTTTGACCAAACAGTATTTAATTTATCACAGAGAGAGGAACGATAAGAATTTAATTGGCCTTGAGCTGCATGCCCATTTAATTTTCAGTGTTCTCACATTTGTTTTCACATCGGATGCTGCTGCATTCATTTTGAGCATGACAGTTGGTACTCCTTGCATGTGAGCATCAACAGCATAGCTTCATCTGCCAACAATTTGTGGTCCAAAGAGTTTACAGTAATCTTTTTTTTGTTTTACATTACGCATTGTGACTCAAAAAGAGTTCATATGCATGCAATGCTCTCACAAAACAATTTTCAGGAAAGTGGTATAACTGTTGATGAATAGTATTTGACAGTCATGAGAATAATTTAAGCATTTAACTTTTTTTCAGTTCTCAACTACTATAGTGGGAGATGGAAAAAATATTGCTATAATAATTTTATTTCAGATGAATCACAAGATAAGGGAAGGGGGAACATAACTCATGTAGGAGGCCTTATCAGAAGATGGGTTTAATAAAGTTTGTAATTGATTTAGGACATGTTTAAACCCACGTCTTCGTAAAAGATATTTTAGGCTACAAATATTATAAAAAAAAAATTAAAACTAATTTATTTACAATTTTTTAAAAAAAGGTAACTTACTACATTTGTTAGGAAAACAAGTGTGGGTCTAAATATCACATTGGATAGAAATGAAAAAATAGAATATTATACATGAAAGACTCATTAACTCATTGTTTTAAGATTTTAAGTAGAAAGTTGTATCAATCTCTTATATGTTTGAACTCAGCTCTAAGTGGTATTTGTGTCTCCTCAATAAATCTCCTCTTTTGATAGACCCGATATTACTTTTTATGACACTAATTTGTCTCTTCCTCTATTTATTAGATATTTTATTCTATATATATATTTTTTTCAATATGAATCCTTTCTTGCCCTTTAAGCAAGTTTATCTCTGCAATGGAAATAAAGAAATATGTATTTTATTCTCCCCCTGATTGTTTGAGATAATAAATAACAAATTTGAGATTTTTATTGTATAAATTTATTTTTTCTTATGGACTTGGGAACTTTGCTTCATGGGCATGATTTATGGCAATCTTTTTTGGGCCTATTTTTTGAAGCGAGATTACTCTTATATTTTCACCTGGAAGCTTCTTCCTGCACCTCTATAACCTTTTTCCTGTATTTCTATTTCACTTTTCTCATTTTGCCCTTTTTGGATTATTCAACTCAGAAATATTTTTTAACTTTTGGATTTTAATCTGAAAATTTTATGGATTGTGTAATTTGGAAATCAAAAATAATTTTGAAATTTCGTAATCCAAAAATTATTTTTGGCTTTTGAATTGTGAAATTCAGATTTTCTTAAAAACAATAAATAACTTTTAAATTGTACAATAAAAAAGTTAAAAAAGAAAAAAAAACTATGGAGTGCAGGAAGAAACTGCATCAAAACTGCTACGCTATCGAAGGCCAATTATTTTTTATAACCGAAGGACCAAAATGTTGTACAACAAGTGTAGAAGAAAAAATCAAGTTCACTGTATCTTATCTTAAACTAGACTACCTGTAATTAGAAATGAAAATAATAATAATTAATTTTAAAATGATTTATAAATATTTCTAATTAAATATTTTATTAAAAAAAACTTTGTGCTATTAAATACTCAAAAAATTTCTTTATTTTTATCTACATAATGTCGTTTTTCATTTTAGTCATTAGATTATTTTTGTCATCTTATCTTTAATTTGTTGATTAACTTCGTTCTTATTTCTTCATTTTTTGAACTTGTCGGTCACTTCACTTATAATAAATATTTTGTAGAACAAATGTTTTTAATGAGAACTCAATTTAAGCCTAAAAGGTAAGCAATGCATCATATACTTTATCCAATAATTCATACTATATAAAAATATATTTTTTAAGTTTTAATTAATCATTTGGTTACTGTTTTGATAAAAAAATGTCAAATTGGTCTTTCAAGTATTTTTTAGTTTTAATTTGGTTCTAATTTTTTAAAAATGTATGTAATTAAATCATTTAGGTTAGTACTGTAGATAGTGTTAAAAACAATGTCACTCATCAATTTATAATTATCTTATTTTATTTTATTGATTTTTTTTTCATTTGTCATATTAAAGCTGTCACATAACATTATGATAGAGTCTTAATTTATTTTTATATTTTTTTTTCTTATTCAATTTAATAACACTTTTTCTTAAAATAAACATCTTCAAATTGAGAAACTTTTATTTTTACATAAATATTATACTACTGATATTTTTATTAAATATTTATGAACTATATTTCAAAAAACTTTAAAATTTTTAAAAATATTTTAATGAATTAAAATAAAATTATTATTTATCTAAACTTGTTTAATTAATAATTATCTATATATAAATATTTATATGTCTAAAATTTTTATCTATATTAATAAATTTAATAGTTTTTATATATTTCAACTATTTTAACCAAAAGAAATTATATAACAATTTTTATGTACTTAAATCTTAATAAAAATTTGTTTAAAGTAATTTATTTAAATGAAATCCGTTATATCTAAGGTTAGTTTAAAAATATTTAATGAAAATGTCAAATTTAATAGAAATAACAGCGTAAAATGTATAAAAAAATAAATTTTGTTCAAATTTAGAATAGAAAATATTGTTCTATTTTAATATAAATTTGGATTAAATTGAATAAAAGAATAAATATATAGATTAAATTGAATAAAAAATAAATATATAGATGAATAAAAAATAAATATAGATTAAATTGAAATTCTGTTAGAATAGAAAATATTGTTCTATTTTAATATAAATTTGGATTAAATTGAATAAAAGAATAAATATATAGATTAAATTAAATAAAAAATAAATATATAGATTAAATTGAAATACTGTTATAAGTACTCAACTAGTTTACGTGACAAAACTTTGATGCAACACATTAGAAAAAAAAATCAAAAATATATTACAAATTAACACTTACATTGTTTCATATTAACATAAATGATCCGATTGAATCAAACTTTTAACAAATCAAATCAAATTAGATTAAACAAACTTAAGAACTAACTTAATACGAACCAAGTATATGCTGAGAATCCAAGTGTGAGTCTAAGTCTTACATTGGATAAAAATGATAAAGTAAAGCATTATATAAAGATGAAAGACTCATTAACTCATTGTCTTAAAGTTTTGAATAGAGAGTGATATCAATCCCTTATATGGTTGGACTTATGTCTCATTGGTATTGTGCTTCCTGGTGAACTTCTTATTCGATAAACCCAACAATGGTATCAGGTGACCAGCTCAAACGAGTATACAGATATAACGGTCCCTATACCGAAAGTCTTATTGACAAAAGGTATTCAGATAAGCAAGATCAGTTGTTATTCACATGTCCATAAGAAACAAACACAAATTATAAAGATATTTCTTTTTTAATTTAAGTATTTTAAGATTGAAAATCAAGAAATAAAAAGCGAATAATAAAAACCGTACATTGTCATTGTTAATACTGGTTTTAACAACTTAAATAAATATTTAAGAAAAGGACCTTTCAATAAATAAAAATTAGTATAGCTAGTAATAGAAAAACATATTTTAAAGAAGTTAATTTGACTAAGCACGTTATTTGTAGTCTTATGATAACAAATATAATTCAATATTCATCCATTGTTTATAAACTGTTTAGAGGAATAATTATCGATATGAATTGAAATGTTTTATTATTTAACACGAGCTGAATATTCAACAGCATGCTACTTATGTAAACATTGAACAAGCCTGATGAATCACTTTAAAGTTTGGCTTCAGTCCAAAGCAGCAAATTATATTTAATGACTTTGTATATATAACATCGTGGTCAATTTATATGGATATAAATGAATGAAAATATGATAAAAAAAAACAACCTAATACATAAAATTAATAGAAGAGTGAGTGTAGAAAGACCATAAAACATATTTACTTATTTGATCACGTACAATGTCGGTATTTAAGAGATAATAATGGTTGCTTGCAAGTTTGAATAATTGAAACTTGTACGTTGTTTTACATGCCATGTGCATTAAAATAAAGGAAACACGTTTTTTCTTTTAGGGAACACGTTATTTCCCACAGAAAGAGTTATTACGTATATATACATTTTTTTAACTTGCTTTAACTTATGAACCAAATCTTAGGTTAAGTGAAACATACATGGGCCACATTCCTGCAAGCACACGTGGGTCTACAATTATTCAACCTTTTAGTCTTCAGAATAAGGAAAATGTTATTTTTAGAAGATTTTTTGTTTATGTATATTGTATGTAGTGAGTAATCATGTTTATATGTCAAGTACGACTTCAAAGAGGATTTCTTTTTTCATTTGTTTAGCTTCTGAGATATAAAAGACAGTAAAATAATATTTACTACAACTTATATAGTTTAGTTTATTATTATTAATTTATATTTTATCGGGACTTTAACCCAGTTTATAATTGA